TCTCTCTCTCTCTCTCTCTCTATTAAATCTTTTATCTAATCTTTTATCTTTTATAATCATCTTTTTTAATCGTGTAGATATGTTTTTTTTTTATATTTTAATATCACAACGCCGAAAGTTTTTTTTTATTTATATCAAGTAATCAGTTAAAATTATGAAAAATATAAAATAAAATATAAAACAAAAATATTTTTATCTTAAAAATCTTATTTTACATTTTCATTTCACGCGAATAAATGTAAAATACATGGAAATAATTCATTTTATATTTCCATATTTGCTATAGGACGTAATCTTGTGCAGTGGATGTTCTTGCGCACTTGACCTGTGTATTACGGCTTTAGCTCGAGAAGGCCAAAACATCCTAATTCCACGTCCCGGTTTTTCCATCTATCGAACACTGGCGGAGGGTCTCGGTATTACGGTCAAAACGTATAATTTACGCGTAAGTATCATTTTCAAAAAAAGGAATCAACGATTTTGCGCATTATTTATCTAACATGGACGTTACTTGTTTCATATAAAAAGAAATATCGATTTACAAAAAATTGTAAAAGTAAATCATATTATTTATTTATGTTAAAGTATTAAAAATATTGAAAGTTACAACAGTTGAAAATATTGAAAGAATTCAAATATTTTCGTATCATATTATTTATTGATAACATTGCTGGTTTCAATTTCATATCAAATAAATGAAAAAAATATAATTTGCAATTCTGTTATATAGACATTGTATGCTTAAAACTTGAGCAATTATATAAAGTTCTGAACTCTCTTATGAGTATTTCAAACTTAAATAAAACAACTACTTCGGACAAAAGCATGCTAAATTTAAACGGAGAGAAAGTTTCTTCGTAGAAATAGAAAATTTCTGAAATGTCTTTTTAAATATGGAAAATTTCTTTTCAGAGTATTATGTTACGCGCGCAATTTATATTAATTTCTTAAATATTAAAGGAATTAATACTTTATAATTTACTTGCTTAATGCTGTAAGTTTGTGAACGGTATAGGGAACGAATAGCGTTAATGAACATCAGCTTCATATTCCCGTGATAACGTGTAAAATATTGATCGATATCGCAGCACAGTGGTTACTCTGTAATAATCGCGCTTGTAAAAGAGAGGGTAGTAATATACGCGCTACCGTGTTGCATCGTCATTAATAAGAAACGTGCATAACGTTCGCTATATTTCTTAAGTTACGTGTTATTACAAAACGCACTTCAAGCGGTATAGTCGGGGCTTAGTAAGCGGCTTTATATGTAAAAATATACCATTTCGTTAGTATCTTTAAATTTATTAACCACCCAGGGCGTGAATGCATTCATTTACGAAAAACAATGAGGGTGCATAATGTTTCATTCATTCGGTAAGTACGGGGGCGGGATGGATGAAATCTTTTTGGCTTAGCAACATTAATTATATGTATTCTTTTAGATATGCCAGAAAATATTATTACTGCGCTCTTTCGAAATAGAAAATAAATCTTTCATTCAATTTACATGATAATAATAGTAGAAGAATCGAGCTGATATTATTTTTTACATTTTAATATATATAATTTTAATATATATATTTAAAATAAAATAACAAAAATTCTTAAATTAAATGTTATCGATACAGTAATTAAAGTGATTTTGTTATAAACATTTATCGTTTTATTAAATTAATGCATCGTGTAATAATATAAAAATATTTATTTATATATATATATATGTGTAGTGTAAAACATTTTGCGATTACATATAATAAAAAAATAGTCTTACAACATATAATTTCTTATTTGCCAAAAGTATTTAATTCCTATTGTTAATTAATTTTATGATTTAATTTATATAATTATATTAATTTTAAATTTTGTAAAGATTTGTAAAGATTGTTTTTATTTATAAAATATTCATCTATTTACTTGGAGTCAATTAGAACCGTCATTGCATAATAACTTTAAATGGCATGAAATCATATTTAAATCACTCTTCGCTATTTACACGATGAATCAGTGCTTTCGCTCAAAGATCTTCAAACGTTAAACCGAAGTGCTAATGAGGCAGTCTCCTCTCTTTTCAACATCGCTTGACGGCAAGTTTTAATGTTTCGCTCTTCTCTTTGCGCATCGTTACAAATTATTTTATGTTCTGAAAGTAATTACAACCACAATACCATAATTTTAATTAGCTACAATATATAAAAAATTTCTAAATCCTGGCATACTGTTCATGTGTCACACGTTGCACATACACATCTATAAATACTGTGTAATGCTGATAAATACAGAATTTTGTAAAATCCATATAATGTTTTAGTTTTATTGTGTGTGTGTGTGTGTGTGTGTGTGTGTGTGTGTGTGTGTGTGTGTGTGTGTGTGTGTGTGTGTGTGTGTATTTTACGATCTCTTTCTATATTATTTTTATTTAAAATATTTCTTGAAATTATTCAGTTCCAAAATTATCCAAAGAAAAATGTATTATTCAAAACTAATTTTGGCATTATAAATTACTTCGCGATAATTTTACGGAATATTACTAATATATAGATAAAAAATATTTCAATATTATAACATTTTTAACTGCTAAGTAACCTTTTAATTATAAAATAATTACATTTCGCTACAAGTCCATTAAGTAAATTTATGTCTACAAGTTGAAAAATTTCAAAAATATATATGGCATTATGAAAATTATGTTACGTATCAAGCAATTAAATTTAAAAAGTTACTTAGTGTAATTATAATTATAAATGTGCAAAACAGATTTAAAAACATTCTTCATAATATTCATTTGTTAACACCGTAACATATAATTAACGTGAACGTGTTAAGAACATTATATTTACTGTATCATAAAGTAAGTGCCCAAGCATTACAACTTTTTTAAAACCAGTTTTTTAAAACCAGATTTATTAATTTTTTCTCAGCCAAATTTTTTCTTTTCATAACATTTTAATATCCAGTGTTAAATATTTTCGTAGACAAATCTCCAAATTGAAACTCTGTCAAAAAGTTAAAAAGAATATTTATCTGGATTTTATGAGAATTTCTGTTAAAAGTTTGGTTAAAATTTTATAAATATTTTTGAATCATCTCGTATACTGTTATATATTGCGCAGTACAGTAAGGAAAGATGGGGGGAAGATGGGGGAAAATGAAGACTCGAGAGGATCTCTTACGAATGCATTCTATTAATATTAATCATTCGTTTCTAGCCGGAGCTTGGTTGGGAGATCGATCTGAACGACCTGGAGGCGCAAATCGACGAATCAACGGCGGCGATTGTTATAAACAATCCTTCGAATCCGTGCGGTTCCGTATTCAGTCGTGACCATATACTTGACATTCTCGATATCGCTGCTCGTTACTACGTACCCATTATAGCCGATGAGATTTATGAGCACATGGTACGTGCCCGAATTTTACGCTTATCATCTAAGTCAAATGACAAACCGTTTCATTTATAATCAGAATAAAGCATGCATCGCACCTCTTCAAAAAGAGATGTAAAATTAATTCAGAAAGAATATACACAACGTTTTAAATGCAAAAGAGTTGCGATGTCTTTTCATCATCAAGAAAACATTTTTTGCCTGTACATTTAATGTACATTTACAAGACATTCAGGTGTAATAACGATAAAAAAAAATATTTTATATTAACGTTGTGTATGTGTGTGTGTTATTTTATATTTTATTGTTTTAATAATAGAATTTTATGATAGGATTTTATAATTGTTGTAAGAATTAATGAAAAAGATATATTATTTATAAAAAAATTTAACATGCAAATTTTTATAACTTAACTTAACACGTTACATCCGATATAATCACAGCAATTATTTTGAAAAATTCCATGAAAAATGTTTGACTGCGTCACGTTTTTGAATTATTTTGTGTCACGTTTGCATGTACAAGCAAAATATACGTGCTTATTATGCGCAAATACATTTTTCGTCTCACCGCTATTTTCAGGTATTTCCAGAACGGACTTTCCACTCGTTAGCATCTCTATCGACCGAAGTTCCTATTTTGTCGTGCAGCGGACTGACTAAAAGGTATGTCGGAACGTGTAAAATGATTATAAAACTCCTGCTTCTCGACGCGCGAATCCGGGCACGAGATTTTCTGCAGCATTCCACAATTTTCACGCGTAACCTTCATAAATATTAAACAAGACGCAGCTAATCTACCCCTTAAAACAATTTGTCACTAAAAAAGTTAAAAGGACAAAGGAGAAAAAAATTAGCTTAAAATTTAAGAATTATTGTGGAATTAAATATTCATCTAAAAATATACGTATTGAAATTAAAAAAAATCCAAATTTATCATAACAATACGTGCAGAAAAATGATGATAAAGTAGTCTTTACGATTACGCATTTCGAGCGTTATAAATTCGATATGATAATCGTTTTAAAATAATTTCGAAAACCCAACGCCGGCAAATGTTCTCTCTACGTCAGGTTATCAGTTATTTTCAGTACGTTACCTTCTATTATCTTCCTTATCGCAAAAAGTACGAAGCGAACTAGCGATTCGTGAAGTTGACGGAAGGAATCCTAGGGACGGAAGCGCTTCGCTGTAAAATTTTTCGCTCGATTTTCGAAAATAGGACGAGCGGTTGATTGAGCGTGAATAAAACGTCGCGATCAAAGCTGAAGGGACGGTATTCCGAAGTTTCGCGATTATGCTTCCATTATTCCGACGGTATCAGATTTGAAACGCAACTTAATTTACGACCGCTCGCTATACCAGTTGTAAATGAGTTCCTGCAGTTGTTGTTAAGTCTTTCATTATAGCACGGTGTATTTTACACGCCGCAGACTTTACAACGCGGTATTTTGATATCAACAGTGAATCGCGTTTCTCATGCAAAATTCAGTGATATACGCAATACATGAGAATAAGAAATAAAAAATATGAAGGAGACAGTGGAGATGAGAATCGATGAATAAATGAGTGAGAGATACGCAATAACATGATAATTTAATAATTATTGCGTAAAGAATTATTGTTAAAACGTATCTTAAAATGAAATTTTCTAAACTAATTAAACTGAAAGTTTATTGACGTATGTAAGGTATTATAATCCCCTTCGAACTAATTAAAAGCAAATCTTTCGATTACATTTAATGTTTCAATTAATGAGAATACTCAAATTGAGAAGAAAGATAAAAAAGAAGAAGCAAACATTAAAATAAATGTCAAATAAAATGATTTTATAATATTGAAATACATAAAAATTGATGCAGTTAATTGCAATAATTTATTTATTTTATATAATTTATTTAAATTAACCTATTTCCTATTTGAATTTCTTCTTAAAAACAAAATAATTATGTAGAAAAAATTAAAATGCATATTAAATACTATGTAGGCAGACTTTTCCGGATGATAATCCGGATGAATCGCACCGCACGTGTTAAGCATTGTATATAGCAATAGATAATTTCTGCTTATAGATTTCTCAGGATCCATAAAGGTTTGTTTTATTTTTCAATCTATTAATCGCGAGAAACATAATAAAAAATTTTATCAATTTAAATTTTTAAATGATGATTAAATAATTGTAAAAAATACCAAATAATTCGTCTTCTCTAAATGTTAAAATAAAAAATTGCAATTATAACTGACATTTATTTTTAATTATCATAATATTATTAATACTATTTATATTAATATTATTTTTATATGAGAAAAACATTTCTCTTCAATTTAGAAGTGAAATACACTCTCGTGATCTAATATCTTGTAAAATAATATCTGAGGACAATGGTTGCATTTTGTTTATTTCTTTTTTCTTTGCAGATTTTTAGTTCCAGGCTGGCGTATGGGTTGGATAATAATCCACGATCGTCAAAACGTGCTGGAAGCCGAGGTGGGTAAACGTTCGTGGCACAATACGTGACAGCCCGAAAATAATTGCTTCTCCGGCGGTATTGTTTCCGTAACGAGGCCTGGGCATGTCCTGGCAAGTTCGGCACCGCATACTGCGGATTGGATTAAATTTCGTTGATTAAACTTTATTCCGCCATTAAAGTTTGGCCCTTTGGCAACCGGCTGATCGTGTCCTTAATTCCTTGCTTTGTAGTTACAAAGGCGGCATCGCCTCGGACTAACTTTAAACCGTCGCGCGCCTCTATCGAATACATCTCTATGTTTTTTTGATAACTTTGCGACAGTTGCAAAGTCAGATCTTAAATAAGCAATCAAGATAAGAGTCTTCGTAAAAAAATTTAATTGACACGTTTCATACATGTATTATTTAGATATCGCGTAAAAAACGTAACGAATAATAACGAAAAATCTTTTATTATAAATTTTTTCAATAAATTATTTAAATTTTATTTTTAATTTATTATAATTTATTAATTATTTAAATTATTTTTAATTTATTATAATTTATTAATTATTTAAATTATTTTTAAGTTATTTTATTATTTTTAATAAATTATTAAATATTTATTTATTCAAATGGTCAATAAAAAAAAAGTTTTATTTACAAATACATTTTTAATAATTTTCTAATATAACTTCTAAAATACGATTAAAACATAATTAATTAATTCTTTTCTTTTCTCGTAAGATGTGAAAATGTAATTATTTTGTAAATGTAAGTTATTTTCATTTTTGTTTGCGCGTCCACCGTTCATTTTTGTCTGTAGCTCGGCATTCCATTGTACATTTTTTTTTCGTGTCACGTTTTGAAAGAAGAAATTGATTGTACAACCGTTTGATGATTCTTCCATGAGCGAGTATTGGACAAATCGATTAAATAGTTTGTCAATGTACAGTATTTGATATTTCACGATATTTAAAGTTTTACAAAAATACTATCAAGTTTTTGGAAATAATATTACATTTTGACATGATTTTGACATGACTAAGCTCCAAGTTCGCTATTAAAAATTTCTGCATTTGTTTGAATCGCAAAAAAGTCTGACATACATGACACAATTGGACCTCTCTCCTTTTAATTCTTAAATATGTAATGTAAAATAAATTTATTTTTATCAAACCGCGGTTTATCAAAATGAATCGTATCATTTTACTCTAATTACTGCAATCTAGTTTAAAAAATTTCTAATTTATATCAGATTTTAGAATAAATTCTGTCTATAATTTGTTATGTATATCAATACATAAGAAGT